CCTCAGCATCTCCCCTTCCCTCAGCATCGCCCCTTCCCTCAGCATCGCCCCTTCCCTCAGCGCCTCCCCTCCCTCAGCATCGCCCCTTCCCTCAGCATCTCCCCTCCCTCAGCGCCGCCCGTCCCTCAGCATCGCCCCTTTCCTCAGCATCTCCCCTTCCCTCAGCATCTCCCCTTCCCTCAGCATCTCTCGTCCCTCAGCACCGCCCCTTTCCTCAGCACCGCCCTTTCCTCAGCATCTCTCGTCCCTCAGCGCCGCCCTTTCCTCAGCGCCGCCCTTTCCTCAGCACCGCCCTTTCTTCAGCACCGCCCTTTCTTCAGCACCGCCCTTCCCTCAGCACTTACCATCCCTCAGCGCCGCCCTTTCTTCAGCACCGCCCTTCCCTCAGCACTTACCATCCCTCAGCGCCGCCCTTCCCTCAGCACTTACCATCCCTCAGCGCCGCCCGTCCCTCCGCTCCGCCCGCTCTGGCCGCGATCCCGGTGCCCCTCCCGCCCGTCGCTTGGTTGCGGCGGCGCTTCCGTCCGCGGGGCCGGCCGAAATGGCGGCGGCCACCGCAGCCTTCTCCCTCTCCTCCGCCTCCTCCTCCTCTGCCACGCTATTGCGCCCGGGCTGGGCTCCCCTGAGGCGGTGGCGAACCCTCATCCGCAGCATCAGCGGCTCCCCTCGCAGCGCCGCCAGGTACCTTGCGCCGGTCGGATCTTTTTCCTCTTCGTTCTCCTCCTCATCCTCATCGCCCTCCGGGCGCGGCGGGTCCAGAGGGCGCGGAACGCCTGAGGGATCAGCGGGGTCGGGCGCGCCGCCATCCCCCTTCGGGCTGGATGCCCTCCGATCCCCGCTGAGTTCCTCCCGGGAAAAGGGGAAGAACCAGCGGGAGAACGGGCCACGGCCCTGGCCTTGCTGATCCATCGGGGATTTAAGCAGTGCCCTTGAAATTGAAGAAGCCCTTGCAATGTGAGCTTCCTGCCCCCTCCCTGAGGGGAGTCTGCGAGTTTGCTTGCTCCTGGTACCTTAAAGGGCCTGTCAGGGGATTTATACAGAACTGCTGTATATATTCATCAATTGGTGGCAAACAGGGCATGCTTTGGTGCACTGGGGATGAGTATCCTGACAATAATCACCCTCTGCATTTAATTTATTGCAGTGTCTGCAAAGGGATTCTGGTGGTGGTTTTGCAGCACTGCAGCTCTGAGCACTTGCCTGGGTGTGCATGGGAGGGTCTCTCTGAGCTCCTGCTTGTGAACCTTTTCATTTATATGTAATTGTGTTAAGACCTGGCTGAAAGCTGACTGAAGAAATTCAGCACATCACAAGTGCCAATGCTGTGAACACTGTTTTTGTGATTTCAAGAATGAAAAGAGGAGTGAGCTGAACAGTCATTGCAATAAACATCTGACCCCTTGGATGTTCTGTGTATTCAAAATTGATTCTGTCAGTTTTGGGAGAAACAGCTGTATTTCTAGACCAGTGCATATCCTACTTCTGTTCTGTGCTGCTAGTAACTGTTCTTTTCCAGTTCTGTGAAACATAGATGTTCCTGCACTAATAATTTACCTGAGGTTTTTATGGGGTGTGGGACATGTCTGTTGTGATGCTGAATATGATCTCAGGGTTTTAGAGTACAAATTGATCTAAAATAGCAGTGCAGATCTTACTCTGTGTTGTGGCCTGCAAGTCACTGGGTTCATAAACAAGAACTTTTGTCAAATCAATTAAATTATGTCAAATCAATTTTTAAGGAAATTTGAGGAGGGGAGTTGGTAACTTTCCTTAAACCAGTAAAACCTAAGGGCGTAAGAACATTGTCACGTTTTATTCCAAAATGCAGGAGTTCACGTATGTTTACGTGGCTAGCTGTGTGTGTTGGGAAGGTGAGTTGTGGCTCGTCTGGTGAACTCAAGCAGGTGAGCAGCATTGAAGGTAACAAGACAGGGAGTGCCCAGGTGTGCTGACCAATCACTAAAGGGAACAGAGGGCACACAGGTGTGATGCATGAACCGTGAGGGTATAAAGGGTTGAGCAAGAAAGAGCACACGCTCTTATAGCTTTCTGAAGAGCACACGCTTATAGCTTTCTGAAGTGGTGTGGTGTTCCTCTGTCTGAGTAGGGACTTGGAGTCTTCTGAAGCGGTATGGTGTTACTCTGTACGGGTGTATGCTGAAAGCATTCTGAAATAGTGTGGTGGCAGTCTGTGTGTTGCAGCTGTCTCAACTGTGACAAGTGGGAAAGCGTTTTTCCCATGTAGGTTTGTAGTGTGTTTCATGATTTTTGACTAACATTTGAAATGCCTGTTAATATTTGAAATTTCATAGTGTTCAAAATGGTAGATCACACACTTAAAGGTGTCTTCTTCCTGGCAAAAAATTTTATGCCTAAATGTTGCATGTCTTTTTGTTGTTTCAGCGACGAAGCAACCGTTATCTCAGGGACAAAACTTGCACACCAGGTTTTGAAAGAAGTTCGAAGGGATGTGGAGTTGTGGATATCTGCTGGGAACCAGAGGCCTCACCTCACTGTCATATTGGTAGGAGACAATCCAGCCAGTCACATCTATGTCAGGAACAAGATAAAAGCAGCTGCTGCTGTGGGTATGTCATATAAGTGTTCTGTTGGTAAGCACAAGATACTCTTGTTTAAAAGGAAAAAATAAAGCAGGAGGAGTTCCCTCAGTGTCTTAATTAAATTTTGCACCAATTTCTTCCACGTTTTCTCTGATGGACCTGAGGATTTGCATGGATATACGAAGAAAGTAGTTTTAATGTGTTTTGAATGGGAGCTGTAAGTTTCATTTTGCATCTTAAAATAGTGTTTGGGAACAGTTCTTAAGAATCAGATTTTTGGACTAAAAGACTAAGCTGATTGCTCTGTATCCTTATTCTGACATGTCTTCTGTCTTTTGTTTTTATCAGGCATTTCTAGTGAGATCATACTGAGGCCTAAAGACATTTCACAGGAAGAACTCTTGGATATGACAGTACAACTTAACAAGGATTCCAGAGTTAGTGGTTTATTAGTTCAGCTACCTCTCCCAGGTGTGTGATGTCTTTGTCCCACTCCTCATACATAGCCCATGTAAGAGAAAAGAGTTTAATAGTTCTGAGCTGCAAGTGTACCTTGGGGCTATAAAAAACTCTTGAAAGACGACCTGCATAATGAATGGTTAGCTGAGGTGGCTGGGTTTTTTTGTTGGTGGTGAATATGCAGTTCATTTTCAAGAAGACAAATTCTGCAAGTAATTTCATATGTAAAACTTGCCTTCTTTAATGATCAGTTAGACTGGTGTTTCAAAGCATTTCACATAATTTATCCAGTTTAATTATATTTATTTTTTGAGTGTGTTGCACTGCTTTGCCTTGAATTCCATGCTTTCATCCCCTATATCATGCAGAAATATGGTATGTAGCAGGTGATGCTATAGCCTTTTTCATAGTGATTCCAGGTTTTGCCTTGAACATTAAACATTTGTTTTCTTTGTCGGCTGTGATATTCCAGGTGAACTTTGTGCAAAGGTCCTAATAGCTTTGATTAAATTTTAGGGGTTTTTATTTACCTTCTCCTAATTTGTACTGAAATATCACCAGGGAGTAGCTGGCAAACTGGTATTTTTGGGGTGATAAAACTTGCAGAGAAATAAAGAACTAAACTGAAAATGTTTTTTGTTTATAAGATGGCAAAACTGGGGGCAGGTGCTGAGAGTTATGGAGGAAAAAAATGCTTTAGTTGTATTTGTAATAAACAGTAGTATTCATGAGTTGGCACTGCTACCTGAAATGGGCCATGTACTGAAATAAATTTGCCACAAGGTGGAAGTATAACACAAGTAAGGAGCCACCTCCCTGGCCTTCAAGGTAGGAGCTGATGGAATGTGGTCAGTTTTCCTTTGGAGGAGCATCTCTCCCACTGACAGATATTTGCAGCAGCAGGTGATGTAAATAACGAAGTTTCATTGCAGTGATGAGAACTGCAAAAGATGGAGCACAGGCAGCCTGGGGATGGGAATCATCCTGTCTGAAACCTGTAGCAAAGGAAGCAAGCTTGTACACTGGGTTTCCAGTCCAGTGCTGTGCTCCCTAAAAGTGGGAGGTGTCACATATCTTGCTAGTGAAGGTACTCAGGGGAATGGTTATGTGTCACTTGCAATGCATTTATGAGGAGGATATCAGGTCACTGCAGTCCACTTTCATCAGTGCACAGTTCAGAACTTCTTTCAGTCTTGAAATGTAGTGAATTTAAACCTGGTCAACATGAGAAGAAAAAAAGCCTGCTGATAATTTTAGCTGTGTCAGATTAAATGTTTGATGCTTCTGCACTGCAATGCTCGAGTCTGTAAATGAGGGTTAATCCTAAATTTGGTTGAAGATTCCTCCTAAGAATTGTGACATACCTGTCATAATAACTGCATGACTAATTAGCCTCCATCCAACCTATTGGACAGGCACAGCTGTTGCTTGTGCTCGGAAAAGCCTTAAAACAATTTAATCAATAGTAGAACTTTGTCAATATTGTAGTGTCTGCATAATAGAGTTAAACGTGCAACTTGTCATGAACTGGAAATACTCAGTAAGCTCTTTTCCACGAGTTATGTTGTTATTCCATAACAATGTAACTCGGATAACTTTTTTTTCCTCGATGGAGCTTAGTAAACTAAAGGGCCAAAAGCTAAGTTAGCTCATTTTCCAAATTTTATTTGCCTTGTAATGGAAGGAGACAAAACCCATGAATTGTTAAAACTCATATTAATGGAAACTCCTTATTCCAGAATTGAGGTAGTGGTGTTGGGTTTGGAGCTTTTTTGAAGTAAACCACACAAAGTGTGGCTTTTGATCAACATTGGGTTAAAAATGGAATCAGAAGTAGCTCTGTTCTGTTGCACTATTTTAAGTGGGGGTGACTTAATTTTGAGGATTGTTGTCTTTGCCTGAGGAGAACTTTTTTTCTGTGCACCTTTTGAGTGCATTACTTGTGATAGTTTTCTGGACATTTTCCTGTGTCTTAGTTTGAATTGCCTGGGAGGTGGCCCTGAAATATTAACCTATTTGAGACAGAAGATGAAAATCCATGCAGTGTTTTTTTCAAATCTGTTTTGTGCTATGGTATTGTTTTCATTAGTCTTCCCTTTTGAAAACCAGTCTTTATTTTTCATGTGCCAGCACCAGAGGCACTTGTTGTGTAAATATGAGTTTCTCTGTGTGCAGATGTTTGGCCAGTGATACCCAGTGTAGTCCTGCAAGTTTTACCAAAAAGGGAGAGGAGGAGTGCAGAGAGGAACTTGGCCTGGTGGGTGGCCTGTAATGACAGCAAGGAAATTTGTATGGGTATCAGCTCATGTTTTATGAGACTGACAGTAAGATAATCAACAAGTTATTTTGTTCCTCTGGAAATAAGGCATATGGGATCCTCTTCTCTGGCCCCCAGCTCACTTCTCCCCGACTGTTCAGCTGCATTTCTTCCCAGTACTTTAAACCCTCTTCTGGAATTGTGTAAATTGGTTTTGAATATGGAAAATACCAATGTAAAAAGGGTTTTTTTTCCTTTTATATAACTGTGTCTATCTGTCTGGTTTTGGGAAGCTAAAGACAATGTGGAGGAGGTGTTTTTCAGTGCAGTGTTCTGCTCATCCCAGGCACAAGGAAAAACATGGCTGCCAAGTTTGTGTTGGAAGAACAACTGACTTGCCTAAGGGTAACAAGTTCTTTTGCAAAAGCCATTTAATAGGTTACTCCAAATTTCTTTCTTGGTTTTGTTTTCTTTTTTTAATTCCCAAGTTGACATAAAAACAGGGTTATGGTTGCTTTCAGTATCTGTGAGGCAAGTTTCAGTTCTAAGAGACTCTTTAATCAATGTACTTAATATATTAATTTCCGCAGTCTTTTCTCATTAGGATTCAAAAGGAAACTTGCTCTTGTCAAAAAACAACAGAATTGTAAATCATAGCAGCCTGGTTTAACTCTAGGGGTTTTCTAATTGGAAATCTTAACAGATTGCCATGGTTTAAGTTCTACAACATGCTTATCTTTTATCTAGCTTATTTTAAAGGAAAACCACAAAAATCTACTAAATTAAACCATCCTGTTTATGTCTCTAAAATATTTTACTGGCAACATCTGATTTTCTTACTGATGCTTATTTTCCTTTATTTAGTTTTTTTAAACCTCCTGTAGTGCCCTCTGACTTGGGCACTGGGACATCTTGCCTCGTAGTTGCAGGATTCTGTTCAGGTTGTGGGTAGAATGGGTGATGTAAGGGATGCAAAAAGCAATTGCTCTGCAATGGAAATTGTAAACCCTCTGCCTGTTTGTCAGGTTTAGGGGAAGGTACTTCGGTTCACTCTTACTGGTGCTTGGGAGGAACAGCCAAATTCCCAGGAGGTTCAGTAACAAATTGGTCATTAACCCACAGAGGGGTCAGTGCCTTTCTCCCCATCTACCCACTCTGGGGGTCTGCTTGACTTTCTCCCAGACAAAACCTTTCAACAGGTCTGGGTCAATGCAGGCTGTGGGTCGGTCAGCGCTGGTTTGGGGCTCTGAGCAGGCCGTGGGTCAGTCATTAAACACAGTTTGCTTTTTGGGTTAGCATGGGATTTTTGTGGAGCTGTTCCTCTGCGGTGTTATGTATTCCAGGTTGATGCTTGGGTTTGTAACTCTGCAGGGAGAGGTCCAGCAAACAGCTTTTTTCATAATCAGCACTAATGTTTATGCAGTATAAGTTTTAAGCAGTTGCAAAGCTATCCTGTACCATTACTGCATATGAAAAATATTCAGTATGAGTACATATGAATACAAAATTATGTGCTGGTAATGCCATTCAAGCCATATTCAATGTTTTGGGATCACCACAATCAAACAGTTTTGTGTATTCTCACTTCTTTAAATGAAGTAGGATATGTTTTGAGTCTACTGATTAACTGACTAAAAAATAGTATTGTTGGAAAAGGAAAGCTAGACCTTCAAAGTTACTTCAGCTTGAGGTTTGCATGAATCTGTTTAAAAATGTGCTCTGTGTGCTTAGAAACCAGAGAAATTCATATAACTGTTCTCCTGTGGATTGTTGGGGTTTTTGAGCTCCTTCATGTTCAAGAATTCTACATTGCAGAAGTGACTTCCTTAAACATTTCTTCTTTACTTCTTGTCCTCACTCTCAGCTGAGTAATGGGCTTTCATATTTTGACTGAATCTGTTGTATCAACACTGTGACAAATGCCTTGACTTAATCTTTAGTAAACTTGTTGAAAAGGGGAAATTGCCTTTAAGGGTGAGTGTAGTTCATTTGATCAAGAGCAGTCATTAGTGACCCAGGCTTGCCAGTGCCACGATGTATTGAGGGCACCTGACAGCGAAGGAGCTGTAGCTGAGGGCTGTGTCTCCCCTAGATCACATAGACGAGCGGACGGTCTGTGACGCCATCGCCCCTGACAAGGACGTGGATGGGTTCCATATCGTGAACGTTGGACGGCTGTGTCTCGACCAGCCTTCCATAATCCCTGCCACCGCTGCTGCTGTCTGGGAGATCATAAAACAGACGGGTAAGAGACTCTTCCCATCCTGGGAGGTGAACAAGGGATGACCTCAGGTGGGAGCTAGAAGGTCAAGGTGCTCTAAATGCATTGGGCTAAATGAAGAACAAATGTTTAGGGTATTAATCTGAATAAGGAGCTGCCAAATAGATGGGCTTTTGTGCCATTAGCACAACTATTAACAAAGTGTAGACAGTAGTATTTGGTGGAACACTTCAGTAACTTTCTGAATTTCATAGTTTTGCAGGTAATTTTCTGTGCTATTCTATTTGTCAAATAGAAGATTGGATGCATAAGTTCTTGTCGAGAAGGGGGAAAAACAAGTATGAAAAATGGGAGCACTTAATTCATTACTGGAAGGGGAAAAAATGCCTATGTGTTGCATAGTTGTAATTTTTTATTTGGAATATACATGTTCTTACTGGTAGATGTAAGTGCTTTCCTTTGTGGCTGGAGCAAGGAAATTAAGTCCTTGCTAAGAGTGATTTTGGTAACCTAAATGAGTTGCCAGGGTGAAAGGTGAAAGCTGTTTTGTGGGCTCATCCCTCAAATTCAGTCTTGTGGATTTTCAAGTCATGTTGATGTCAGCAGTCCACAACAACAAAATAATTGTCGTGGGGATTGAGAAGGAAGGTTTAGCTGTATCAAAATAGTGGGATATAATTTTTTAATACTTTTTTTTTCCCCCACAAGGAATACAAACATTTGGAAAAAATGTTCTTGTAGCTGGAAGATCCAAAAATGTTGGAATGCCTATTGCAATGCTTTTACATACTGATGGAAAACACAAAAGGCCTGGAGGTAAGTCCAGGAATATTGTTCCAATGTTTCCATTTGTGAAGGCCTGAAAATAAAGCTTACTAGAGGACTGAGATTAAAGAGAAAGCTTTCCACTCTTGTCAGTACTTGCAACCAGACCAAGAAAATAAATTTGCTAACCTGTTTCCTGACTTACTCTCAGGAGAGCAGTTCCTGGACTTCTTCTGCTGTTCAGTCATCACTTCCTCCTCCATTTGAAACAGCTGCTTTTTCAAAGTGATCCTTGAAGGTGGTACTGGCAGTGAGGCCTTGAGCTGCAGAGGCTCCTGTGGTGTTTATACAATGTAGCTGTTTATAGGACTTGTCCTTGTGCTTGTTCAATATTGATTTCGTTGGTCATACACATGAGCATGCGGGTACTCCTGTGTATACATGTGCACATACATGTTTATCTAGGAATAAGCAAAAAAAGGTGTGGCATGACCTTTGTGTTGTGCTGTGTCAGTGAGGTGCTGCTTATGAAAATACCCGAATGACCAACCAAGGAACTCTTCAGCGCGAGTACCATGATTACTTGTTGGCCTGGGGGATATTTCTGCAGTGCAGTTTATATCCCCCTGGAAATTGAGTGTTGTGGTGGAAATATTTTAAAGTAATTCTAATTACAGAAGCCTACAGTAGTGCTGCTATAATTGTGCTGTAGAAATTAAAGCAAATATAATGTAGCTAGAATACTGCCCTTTTGACTCCATTTTGATGTTAGGAACTGCTGTGGTGTATAATATGTGGTGTGCATAAATGAGGTAAACATAGACATTTAATCCCAGGCCTATTTAATTGGAGCAGAGTGAAATCTGTTATTAATATAATAAAACACTAAAAAGCTTTATACTAATCACAGAGTTGGTTTTTCTGTTCAGCCTCTGTGGGAAAGTTGCTATTTGGAACTCCTCTCAGTGCCTGGATCGTAATTACCATTGGTACATAGTTATGGTCTCATCCTCATTCCCACGAAAATGAGTAGCATTTTTGCTATTTGCTGCAAATACTGGATGACATTTGTTATTGGCAGTGCAGCTGATGTTTGAAGTAGGCTTGGTAGAACACAAAGTCATGTTACAAGCTACTTATTTACATGTTTCCCACTTGGAAATGAGGAGACCTAGTGACCTGTGATGCTTTCAGCAGCTTTTTGCAAGACTCTCACCAGCTGCATGAGCAGTTTTGAGCTGTAACTATTTGCAGCTTCCGGCTTTTGAGTGGATTGGATCCACGGCTCAGTTTGGTCTTGTATCCTGGGTTTCCAGTTTCTGTTTGACTGTCTGGTAGTGCAGCTTGTTTTGAGGGGCCAGTCCATGAGATTTTTGTGGTTCTTCATGGTCTTCTGCCAGTGTTTTGTTTCCTGGCATGTCAGAAGACTTCCCTTGCAACCCTGCTTGCTGGCATTGCCAGTGTTCAAAGTATATCACATATGTGGTGTAGGGTCAGAAGAATGTTCAGGTAGTCCCTTACTGACACTGGAGCCTAGATACAGAAAGAATTAACGCACTGGACTTATCCTTGCCTAATCTGAAGAACTGGATTTATTTATCAGGTAGTTTTCTAGTTTTCCAGTCTGCTGTGAGTTGGCACACAGTATAAAGCAGCTGGCAGTGAGAAAACAAGGGGATGTGTACTTCTCTGATAATGAGCTGGTGTTAAGTGTGTATGCTGTGTATATGATGATAAATACTTCTGTATCTGGGATGACTTCTGTACAGAATACTTCTGTATTCTGTATTTTGGGTGGCATTTTCCTCCCTAACTCACAGATGGGGCTCTCCTGAAGATCAGGTTCATCTTTTGCACTTGGGTTTAATTTCTGCTTCTGCTGTGAGCAGCAAGAGACTGGCCTGGGTGGTGTGTAAAAAGGAAGGGAGGTCAGGCTATGGTTTCAGCTTGCTTTTTTTTTTTTTTTTTTTTTTTTTTTTTTTTTAAACTTAGGGTGATAGGGACCAGAGAAGACCTACAATGGAACACTGAAAAAGAACTTTCTCAGGTTATCAATCAAGAAAATTTTTTTCAGTGACTGGGTTGATTTTATTTTTTTTTTAAATTGAGAAACTGTGCAAGGGGTGGATGTGTATGGTACTTTTTTTTGTTGTAGGTTTTGGTTGGTTTTCTTTATAGATTATGAACAAAAATTCAAGATTGGGCACTGTCTTAATTTGTGATGTTTCATCTGTAGATACACTTATATCCTGCAGGTGGCAATATCTGATCAGATGTGAACCACTTCCAAAATAAATAATGTTCTTTGTAGGCAGGTCAAGAGATTATTTCTGTTTTGTGAGCTAGGGAATTGACTTGGGAGTATCATGTGGAATCTTAATTGTTAAATATATTCCTCTTCTTTCAGCAGAAGTAGCAGTATAAAAAATAATTGTTTATTTTCTGTTTGGGCATGATCACAAATAAATGGAAAGCCTCCCCTTTCTGAGGTGTCTGTAAGCTTCTGGACTGCTGTTGTCAAGGTACGGGCTTTTTTTTTTCCCCCCTCTTTTTTTCTTTTTTCCTTTTTGGTAGTGAAAGCAATTATTTGGTTTCAGGAGTTGACTACAGACACATTCCTCACTAAAATCTTAGAGGCAAATTACCACCAATTTTATTCCTCAGAAGTAACCTTGTAACTTTGGATTTTATCCTTTGTTTTTTCTCAACCTTTCTGCTGAGTAATGATCATGTTTTTTGTTATTTGGCCTAAAGCAGGTATTGGTAGACTCCTCTATTTTTTTTTTCCAAGCCTGTACTTTTCAGTTATCTGCAAATGTTTTGATCTGCTTGTCTCTGGGGAGATGCTGTGCACTGCACAGCCTGAAGAAGAGGGGTAAAAAGTGAGGGGAAAGAGCAGAGAAGCCAGAGCCCAGAAAGGTTGAAGATGAGATGCCTGAAAGAGTTAATAAGATGAGAGGCACAGATTTGACCAGTCAGACCATTCCATAGGAAGCAGATACAATGGTAATGTCTGAGAAGGCAAAAGGTTTTTGTTTAATTGCAAGTAACATGGCCTAGGTGTCTGTGAATGGAAGGCAGAGATGGGGGAATGTAACATCTGAACACTGTGTAGTACAAATAATTGCAGAGAGGGTTGGAAAGAGTCTTCTTTGAGAGCCATTCTCTTTGCTGCTTGCTTGGGGAGTCTTCAAGGGAATACCACTCCTGCTGTTGGATGCAGTAGGAGACTTTGGACCCTCTCCCTGTGACTGTTCATGCTGTGGCCCCTCCTCAGTGTCTCCATCAAACAGCACAAGAGTTTTTCATGTCTAACCAGGGGAGTGTATTCTGCAGGAGCAGAAGAATGTGTGCTTCTTTTGCTTCTGCTGGTGGTCTTGTACTGAAGCTGTCATGTGTGGCAGACAGCTGAGTCTTGTGGTGCCCTCTACAAACTGGGCTTGATAAAACAGACCCTGGATTCTGTGCTGGGCTTGCTTTGTGGAGTTCCACTGAACATAACGAAGCCATGCAAGGGCTTACCTTCCTGTGGAAGGGAATTCAGTCCACAGTATATTTTTAAGAAAAGTGTTTTTTCATATATGTGAGCAGCAAGGGTTGTGAGTGTTCTGCCTATGCTGATTTAAAATTCATGTCCCAAGACAAATCTGATTGTGTTCTATTGTTAACGTATCAAAGTAATTTGTGCCTGAAGGTAAATTCTGTACTTTTTATAGCATTTCATATCTGTCAAATAATTGTTTTTCTCTTCGGTTTCAGGTGATGCTACAGTGACCATTACTCACAGACACACCCCAAAAGAGCAGCTCAAGATCCATACACAGCTTGCTGACATAGTAATAGTTGCTGCAGGTAATACTGGTTGGTGTCAATACTCCAATTGCAGCATTTCAAACCTAAAAAGAGGACTTTGCAGTCTGTGGCACTGACTGTTTCACATTTCTCTGAATAATCAGTGCTTGTGCTTGCTGATGGTGTTGCAGTGGGTAGGATTTCTCACTGTAGGAAGGGCAAATGATTTGGCTCTTTGTTCTTGCCCTTCACATTTGCAGACTCATAAACTGTTTCTCATCACATGCGACACCTTTCCCTTAGGGAGACTTTGGAGTGAACTCAAGATTGGGAACCAGTCAGTGCATAGTTTATACAGGTATAATTATGTAAATTAAAACATGCTCTGTGCTGTGGAAAAATCATGAGTCATTTAAAATTTGACAGGAGGGTTTCTTTAAATCAGCTGGAGCCTGCTTTCATAAAACCATGGTATTATTCCCCCGCTGTTAGAATTAAGGCCAATCTTGCCAAATTAACTGGAGGTTTGGGTAACCTATGTTAGTAATGGCTGGGTTTTTTTCTCTTTTACCATGTCAAGAGAAAGATAATGGTAATTGCCTAGGGGAAGGGGACTGAAAGATCAGTGCCTGTACTCTTAAAGCAATGTAAACTGATACACTTACAGTTGAACTAATCTGTCCCAAAGAAACAGGCGGAACTCTGCTTCTAAGCAGCCTTGCTTATTTGTTTGCAGGTATTAGAGGTAGAACTACAAATTAATTTTTCAAAATTGAACGACCCAACTTAGCATAACCTTGGTAAAATTCTGGGTCCCTTTGCAGCTCAGGGATATCATCCTTCTCTTGTACCATTTTGTAGGGACTACAAGAGGATTGTCTTTGCTCTTTTCTGCTCCCTTTCCCCCTCTTTCTCATCCTCAAGACCCAAGACTTCCTTATGTATTTTCTAGATGAAGACAGACAGGTGCCTGTCTAAAGCTTGTCACTTCCTGGTGAAATGAGATGCCCTTTCCTTCAGGTTTAATTTCACTGCCTCTTTCCTAAGGCAGGCCAGGAGTAAGTATCAACATATTTGTCCCCCATCTAATTGTTCAGCTGTGGGCCTGACCAGAATTCACCACTGTGAATGAAAGGCAACAATGGTTGTGCTAACTGGAAAATAAACCACTAACTTTTCATCCAAATTCACTGCTTCCAGTTTAATCATTGCTTCGGATTTTTGTGCTGAATGTGGTTTGTTGTTGTTTATGCTTGGACTTAAATGGCCCAGTAGCAATTCAGCCATATTGACCTTTCACATTATTTTCCTGTGTCATTTGTAACAGGAGTGTGATACAACACTCGTTACACAACTTGAGATATACTTGGAATGATGAAAAAACCTAGGGCTAGGTTATGCAAACAGCACACAGCCCTGCCCCGGTGGGTGCTCTGGGGAAAGTTGTGCTTTAGAAAGGTGGAATCACTCCAAGCTTCCTTTTGTTACATGAGAACTGTGCACATTTTAGCTTTGGGGTCACACACTCCCCAGAAATGGGTGATCTATTCAGTGGGTGTTACCTTTCTTGCAACTTGTACCTTGCCAGGTTGGAACAGGTGCTTTTACATGCCACTGCAGAAGATAAGCACATGGAAAAGAGCTTTTTTTGTGTGTGCTTGCATGGAAGACCAAGGTTCCTTTTCTTTTGTAGTACTTTCACAGGAGCCATCTGCATCCTGGCTCCTGTTTGGTGACTTGTTCGAGTGAGTCTCTTCTGATCTGGTGCAGTGCTTTCCTGTTCACTTGCATTCATGGTTTTGGTAATACTTCAAATCAGGTGCTTCTTTTTTGTTACTCCTGAATGTGAGAAGATTTTGTCTCTGCTGTCTCTCATTTGCCCCCAGGCATGGGGCACCAGTTTTCCTGCTTATTTGGATTGTAACTATCCATGCAGTTTATTCCTTCCTTTTTGTTCCCAGCCAGCTCCTTGCATCTTAAGTTCCACCAACACTGTTCTTGTCCAGCCTACTCCTCCCTAAAATCTCTTTCAATACCACACAGCTTTTGAATTTCTGTCCAAGGCATTGTTTCCTGTTAAGCACACCTGACACGTATCTCAGCACAGGGGTTACCCATCTTGGCCTGCTAACCTTGCCTATACAGACATCCCATGGTGTCTGTTCTTTTTGCCATCTGCCCAGCCCCACGGCAGAAGTGTAAGTGCAGCTTCACCCAGTGGTGCTCCTAGAGCCACCTCAGGACAGGTGAGACACTGATGGAAACAGCAGGACTCCTGAACCAGTCAGCTTGCTGCTCCTGCTCTCTGGGCTTTCCTGTCTGCTGAGAGAAACAGGGCTCATCTGCCTGCTATGTTTGGGGAGGAGGTAAAGAGAAAAAGTAATGGCAGTGCCAAATGCCAGGTGAGCCTCTACTTGGACTACTTGTGCCATCCCTTGGGTCATGATCTTTGGTGGTCTTCTGTAGGAAGTGCTGGTTGATCAAACCCTTTATTCTGCTTAGCATTCTTGGAAGTTGGCTGTTTCACAATCCTTGCACCTAAATTTGGATTAGACAGGGCCTTGTTTTTCCTTTGTTTAAAATGTGATTCATCATTTTCTACAAAAATTGCCCATGAAGGCTTTTCCCATATTCAGTCAGTGCATTTTAGGAAAAGGTGCTCTTATGTTTATCCTTTCCTACTTGGTATGTAAAGTAGGCTTAAGTAAATAGATACATTCATTTGGTTTGGGGGTTACTTCATTTGTTGCTATTAAGTATTTGGCTTATTATCAAACCATTTTACAAAGGGTGTAACTGTGCAGCTGCCATTAATATGCATCCAGCCCTATCACACACAGATCATTCACCCCCATAAGGCTGAGGCATTATCCAATTACCAGCCAGGTTGCCATGGATTACATCAGAGGGGGATGAAGGCGATGCAGTCAGATGTTATCAAATGGGCTAGGAGAGAGTTTGAGATCTTGGCTTGCCCAATATGAGAAGCAGAGTTTCAAGCAGGTGTCTTATGGGTGAGTGAGAAATGGAGAGCCAAGAATGTTGTAGTATGGCCTATATCCAAATGACTAAGTGTCATTTGGACACTTAGTCCAATGCTCTAGCACTGCACATGGAGCCAGAGCCTTGTACACCACCACTTCCCTCCCAAAAAACTGCAGTTTCAAACTGTATGGATTTGGTTTCTTTTCCTTTTTGCCTTCTTCCCACCTGAGAGAAAGCTGCTTTGATAGGGAGTGGGGAGTTCAGACTACCTTTTTAGAGGTACTCTTAACATTCCTCTCAAAACAAAAAACTGGTGGAAATGCTCAAGAAGCAAGATGAATTGTAATATTTAGTTTGGAAATTCCCATTACTGAAAGCTGGAGGTTGCATGCTAGGGAAGAAATTCCTGACTGGAGTTGTACGGCGATGGATACATTTCATTATCTAGACTTTGAAGTGACCTTTTAGGTTTTCTGGGTCCTAACTGAGGCACATATTAATGATGAATATCGAAATGCTTCATGTTTAAATGTGCTGAAGGAATACGTTGCATATGAAAAAGCTGAGGTGGCTTGTTGTGGTTGTTTCAGCTGGAATTTCTTAATAGCAAAATAGTCCTACCCCAGGATGCCACAGAAATGCAGCCCACAAGATGTGCAGTGCCCAGGCTGAGTCTCCCAGGTCAAGTACAGAGGTCTCACAAATTGCTGTAAAGAGCAAGAAATGGTGTTTTGTCCCTGTGGAAGATCAGTGTTGTCTGCTGGGATTACTGCAACAGCTCAGATTGCCTCATGGTTGTATGTTTTTTCATCCAAAACAAATCCCATGGCACAATTTCTGGTGGGATGTTTTTATGTTTATTTTTTTTTCCTCTTTCCTGTAGTAGTAGCAGTTCCAAACTGTGTGCAGTTGAGGAATATTTGTGTTCAGTGTGGGGTGTATCAAGAAACATTCAACAGAAAGAATTCTATTTTGCGCATACATAGCTATGCATGCACACCCCTTGATATCATTCAAAACTGATAACCTCAGACTGCCTGGCTAGGGTAATTAAATATATCTTGATGATTCCAGGTATCCCAAAGTTGATTACAACTGATATGGTCAAAGAAGGTGCTGCTGTGATTGACGTAGGCATCAACCATATCCACGATCCCCTTACAGGAAAAACCAAGTTAGTTGGGGATGTGGACTTTGAAGGTCAGTGAAACTCTTTATACAAATCTCTTGGATAAATATATTGAAGTCTGTATGATTCACTCAGGGTAAAATTTTGGGCTAGGCAGTGTCTCAAATGAGACAATGTTTCAGCGACTTTGTATAATCTATTTATTTAAATAAGAACACAAATCTATCTGCTATCAAGAAATTGTATGTTAGGATATAAAGTGTTGCATTCAATTACAGGTACCAGCAACCCCTAAGAGGTACCGATAAGCTCTTCTGACAGTGGTGTAGAAGGTGCTTGTGTCCAGTTTCTTTAATCCTTTGAGTTTATCAAAAGTTAGGGAAGCAATCACTGAAAACAGAAACTGTTTGCCAAGCGTAAGGTCTCCTGCTATTCATAGCAATTATAATTAAACCACAGCTTCTCAAAGCCTCCTTTTACGCTCTTTCTCTACACTTGTCTGTGTAAATGTTAACTTGGCTTTAGAAATACCCTTTATGCTAAAGTTGAATGTGGGTACATCTAAAAGGGCTTAGCATCTTGGTCCAGGCAAGCCTAACAGATAAAAAATGTTGTTACATATTGATCTTCTTATGTTTAACTTGTTGCAGAGCAAGTTCACAATGTAACTTCATTAAATATCTCCGCTCTGGAGGAGCTCCAAACTGGAATAGCAGGATTGTTGTTGCACTTATTGGCAGGGTTGAGTGTGGGAAGCTTAGACAGCATTTACCCACATTATTAATGGTTCTCAACAGTTCCTTATTTTGATAAGTATGAAAATCACCCACAGGTTTTTTTTCCACAGTTGTTAACATCTTGGCTGGCATAATGTTTCAAAGCTTAATTATATTCAGAATGGTTTTAGCGAGCTTGTGTGTATTTGTAATTACATCACTCACTCAGTTCCCTGCTGCTTTTACTCATCATGCATGTTACCTGTCTGTTAAAGTCTGTGAAATTACCTGTGTGAGTGTAGCTGAGCGACTGTCTTGGAATGTGTTTGGAAATGTGTAACTGGATGTGTGCAATAGAGCTTCAGGAAAAGAAATATTTTGGAGGACAGCTTGAAAAGTTTTATTTTATCCTGTCTAGATTTGTGGAATCACAAATAAAAGGTTCTGTTTTCAGAGCTGAACTAAAGTATAGAGAATTTTCGGGTGTTTGGTTAGCTTTAGCAGGTATGGGAATACAAAAGCTGTAACTTTGAGAAATGTGAACCTGCATCCTTCTTGTTTGTTTCTTTTCAAACATGGAACCATATGCCTGCAATAAAGGTGTAGATTCAGTGGCAAGGCTGTGATTCAGAGTTTCAGCAATGCACTGTATCTGTCTCATCATGTCTGCTGTGGGTTGTTCTTGAGATTTTACCTGGGGGGAGGGAAGATCCAAAAAAGAGGGAGGAACTTCAGCTTGGATTATGCCACAGCAGTTACAAGTAGCATTTCACTGTGCATTGCCAAAGGGAAGTTGTTGTTGGTTCATTGGTATCGGTGAAAGTTTCACTAAATCTTTAACAGCAACAGAAAACATCCCGGTGGAAACAGTTCTGAACTCTAGCAAGTAAATCACCCTTGCCAAGTACTTGATCTGGCAGTTAGGAAATGGAAGAAGCTAGCATGTTTCTGTTGCAAATAATTTTATCCTTTTCCCCTGTTTGATCACTTGGCTGAATCTATATTTAAGCCTAAATCAAAATAGTTTTTGCAGATTGAGGACAGGTACATAAACATGGCTGGCATAACATGCAGTGCCTGTGTAACATCACATAGCCCACCAGTATTTATTGTCTCTTCATCCACTTCTTTAGGAGAAAAATCCAGCTGTGGGCAGAGAGGTTTAAGTGGGCAATCAGAGTTCAAATTTCAATTACAAAAATAGATGGAAATTGCTTCCTTTACCAGGTCATCTGGCTGAAATGCTCCTGTAGTGAAAATTAATTTTATTAGGTGGGTGGAAGGTGTTTTGATTCAGTTGCTTATCTTGCCACTACTTGGATCCCATCTTCTAATCTCTGCAAGGTAAGTGAGAGAGTAAAAGTTATTATCTCTTTAACAACAAAAGGATGCATTTCAGCTCTTCTTTTTTGTCTTTCATTGTCAATACAGCGTACACATTTGCAAAAGTAAAGGAATGCCTTTAAACAGTGTTTGCCATTTCCCATGTCCCCTCTTTAGTTTGACGCTCTAAACTGTGTGCGCATCAGAAAACAATAGTGGTTTGGTCTGGAATAGTTGACTGCGCAGTTCCAAGATATCTAAAAGAACAAGACAGGAGAACATTGTGCATGTGGGGGTCAGCTGCAAAGCACTGAGATACCCAGCCTTGATACTACAGTGATATATTCAACTTCACATGGCTGTATTGGCTTCTGGGAGCCTCAGGAGGAAGAGTGAAGTGCCAGGAAGGAGAAGTGATGGTGTTCGTATGTGATCTCCAGTGCCATTTTAGCTGCTTTTGGGCAGCAAATTTTGGTGACAGAATGGGAGATCTGTTTCTGTGAGCCACACAGTGCATGTGTGGGTGTGCTTGGCCCCGTTATAGATGCTTTTGTTGCCACAGCTATAATGTCAAGGGAGGAGGAGGGCTACAAGGACCAGGAACATGGAATAAAGCAAAAACTTAGCCAGAACATTTAGCTGAAACAGCTCTTTTGGGTGGAGCATCATTTCCAGGAGTAACTGGTAGAGCAGGGTAGTAACACACCACAGTTAGTAGCTCACCTTTGCAAGTGGAACTGGAAATACCAACAAAACCAAAGTTGCTTGTATTTCTTTACAATTCCATCCTTATTTTTGACAAACAGCAGTGCTGATTGTTGAGTCTTTATGATATGCCTATGTAGAAAACAAATCCTTTGTGTAATATTTTTGTTTGGTGATGAAGATGTGATATAAGTGAAGGGCTTTACACAGGAGAACTCTTCTTTCTGACTTGACAATGTCAAAGAGATTCTGGAAAATTAGTGCCACCATAAGCAGGGAGGGATTCGCAGTGCTGAAGAGCAGAAGAGAGAGCCCAAACAAGTAATTTATGTGGCTCCGAGGTGGTGGGCCTATATATTATGCATTTTCTTTGAATGAGATTGCCCACCACAATCTTCAAATCCAATTAATTGATGGAAGCAGTAGTCCTTCAGCTGTATCTTTGCAGCAGTGTGCAGGAAGCCTGGGCTCTGTGACAGCCCCTGCATCTGATGGTGTTTGCTGCCTCTCTGCGTTCATTGTGGTACCTGCCTGGCTATAGGCCGTTCCTCACTCATTGAATCCTTTCCAAATTAGCTCCCTGTGCAGTTTTCCCAAACAGTGGTCACAAAAATAGAATGTAGATGCTTCAGGTGCTGTTGCTAACTAAGGTTAGTTAGTTCCTTTCTCAGTTGATTTTGAAGATCTGGTATTTATTTTGCCACAAAGAAGAGCCCAGTCTGTGTGATCACATTTCCGTATTGCTGACCTTAAGGGGGAACCATTGCCTGTAGTGCTCCGTGACTGCAAGGAATCAATAAAGAAGGTTGGTGTTAGGCTATGACAGAAGCCAGAAGGCTGCTGGCTAACTAGAGCCAGTGAGCTGCTGCATGGCCAGTCAAGGTTCTCCTGCACAGAAGAGGATGTTGTTCAGGGGTGTTACTGATACACACTGTTTGAATTGCAGCACTGCGCCATAATTCCTTGGTTTTCTTTTAGATTGCAGTTAAAATAGCTGCAATAAGGGAAACAAAGATAAGAAAAAGAAGGAACTCTGATCAATGGGGTAAGTGCTTGCTGGTTGGTATCCCACAGTGCACAGTGAGAAGAATCCCAGAACGTGTGGAGCAGAACATGGGCTATCTAGTGTGGCTGCTGAGCATGTGATTTCACACTTGGGCAGTGCTGCAGGGATCTGGTGTAGCTTTACAGGGACTTGTAAAGCTGTGTGGAAACAGTGCTTAGGCAGGAATTACTCTGCATCACTTAATGCAGATGCACAAGACCCAGAACTGCCTTCAGGTTGAGACTTGCCATTGGTTTGTGTGATTAACCCTATTAGGTGTCTGATGTCCTCAGCTTTAAAGGAACCTAGGAATGAAGGGCTGTTTCCCAGGCAGTGGATCCTGTTTTTCAAGGAAACAATCTACATTGCATTTCTTCTGAAGAATCAAAGGAAGATTTCAAGGTTCTACAGAAGCTGCAAAATAGCAGCTCCTCCCCCATAGGCATCTAATTTGCATTTTCCAGATTGTCAGGGGAAGGTCTGGGAGACCAGCATCCATCTGGAGAAATCAGGAGTAAACTGTGAACCAAGTTATTTCATTCTCGAGAAGCAGAAGCAGGACCTGATGGAGCCTCACCTGCCTGCATGAGCTCAATCACACATTTACGTGATGTCTGAGAACTGTGCTTTGGCCTATTTCATTTGATCAGGAAAGTCTATTGATGTTTCTGAGGCCAAGCTATCTTCCCCCTTTGGTTGCTGGCATTCATCTTGGAAAATTGCGCTCACTGTATCTGTATTTACTCTTACCAATGGAAACATATCAGATGGTAATTTCCCCAGCACAGACACCTGTTGTGTGTTCAAAAATCTGGATCAGCTTTTGTGCATGAGCTGTCTGGGTGGTTTTATGCTATCTGATACAAAATTTGGCTTCTGCCACGCCTACCTACAGGGATTTCCATAGTGGTAGAATATGGGCAGAGGAATTCACCAACTTCAGAAAACAGTGCACTGTGTGTTTCCTGCTGGATATGGTTACTAACACCACAGGCAATGCATGTTGTGCCTGACAGGCTTTGGAAGGCTTTCTTGAGGAAAGGCATGGTCTGATTGTGGGTTGTCCTCTTTGGAGGTAAGGTAGGAGTAGTTTGAATAACACCACAAAAAGAGATGGGTAACATTGCCATGGAAATAAGCATATTTCAGTTTCAAGTGCCTACAGTGTTTTCTGTGTTAATGGCTGTGTTTTCTTCAGATGTGGATACATTTCAATAATTATGACATTAATCCAAGAATTCATAGTAACTGTATTAACTGTAAGCACCATTCTAAATGGGAA